AAGGATTACATCGTGATCATTTTGAAAACCCCTATTGTTCCCCTTTATGATTCCCCAAATACATCTTCCCACCCCCTTCATAATCTTATTCTCTACATAGAGTTCAGCATTTTTGCAGGCTGAACTAAATATGGAGACAGACACCTCCTGCTCTGCAGCACTTATGTCAGCTGGCAGCTACTGAGGTTACAAAGTTAAAAAGTATTAGACATGGGCACAGTGCTTTAAGGACAACACTATTCAAATTCGGACAATTCTTTCATGTCTACAAGATATATTTTCATATAATTCCCTTTTCTACAAGAGGGTTCCATGTCTCAATCTCTCTGGGAAAAGCAGACTTTGACAAAGCACTTTTTTTCCACCTCGCTATACCATACTTCTTTCACAAATATAAGCTTCTATGTATGATAAAAATGAATCTATCCATCCCATATTTTATATTGCATTATTCCCATCAGAATATACTAGATTTTATCATTTATTCTATATGATTGGTGCCCAGAGAACTTACTCTTAACAGCTGGTACCATGTGTATTCCTGATGCCTTTTCCCTATTATACATGCCCTACTCTCTTTTCCAGAACTGTGAGACATAATTGATGTTTCAAGTGTTGTTTTCTCATATGTACCTAACTATCTCTATTTAGTCAGCTCCCAAGATTAGGAGTTGTAGTTAGTAATTCCAGAAAAGAGATTTGAAAATATTAGCCCCCTGTTGAATCTTAGAGAAAAACATTTGAAAAGAAACAGAATTTCCATGGGAAACTACATCTGTTACATATGTGACTGACAAAGTAAAACTAAAAACCACCCAAAGAATTACCAATATAATGAGAGAGAAAAGAGCCTGCAAGTTGCACGAATTTTGCAAATTCCTCCACTGGCCTGTGGACTACTGGTCCTTGCTAAGTGAGAGTCTATTTCCACAGGGGCCTTGTCCCATGGAATCCATTGGACAGGTAGTCATATGCTGATCTGAGATTAGGCTGCACAGCTCCTGACATAAGATTTAAGGCACCTTAAAATAATAGTCTTAAAATCTAAATTATAGAGAGAATGTATACTACTATTTTATAATTCTTTTCTGAAATGACAGCAGAATTCAACATTTAAAGAAGATGCATACATAAGACATTTGAAATGACTTTTCTTATTGTGATCAGAATTATATTCCAGCAAAACTCATTTTGTTCTTTTCTGTGAAACAGATCTTGCCTTGCTAAAAAGTAAGACTATTTTAATTCTTTTAATCTGATATTGATTATTCAAGGAGGTTGGTCATAGGACCTAAACTATCTCTCCAGTAGGATAAGTTGCATGTTTCTGTACAGTTGGTCTCATCTTTCATGTGTAAGTGTGCCGGATACTAAGGTGGAACAGACCCCATGATAGTGAGACAAGAAAAAAAGATAGCAATGATTACAGAGACATTCCTTATCAACTGGGATTTGGTTTGCATTTCCTCCTGGCTGAGAGTCAAGAATTCTCAAGTGACAGAAACCAATATGAAGATTGCTTTCTCAAAAGCAATCCTGTTTCCTAGATATATCTCAAGCATAAGTGTTGACACAGCTCATAAGCAATGCTGAAAGAATTTAATTTAATTTTATTAGCATTTCACTCTTATTGTGAACTTGAAGAAGATCCCTCATAACCTACCTTAAAATTTTATTTACAGGGGGAAATTTGTTAACATAAGATAAATAACTGAGCTGGCTCTATTTTATTTTTGTTGTCACTGTTTTGATACAGGGTCACACTCTGTAGACCAGGCTGGCCTCAGACTTACAGAGAGCCATCTGCCTCTGCCTCTCAAATGCTGACATTAAAGAAGTGTGCCACTGTGCCTGGCCCATATTTTATCTTCTAAATTCTACTTAATTTTAAAACTTTGCTTAAGCTTTGAACTGGGTTATACATTATATAATTTCAACTATATAAAAGTCACAAAGTCATATGTACTTAGCTATCCCTAAGATACTTAGGCATGCCTCATCTCTCTCTTCTATCTGCACTTTAATCTAAGCATGTGTTATCTTTCTCCTAATAAACCCCAACTCTGCATTACACTGATTAATTTTTCTGAAATTCTTTACGCCAAGACCCCAGGCATCCAAGTGGGGATCTGAAGGCTCATTTTCCATGTTAGGCTATATCTCCTTCTTCAGATAAGGACCAACTCTGAAGACTGAAGGAGCCATGAGACTTTTATTGCTTGTTAGGCTTGCTGTTAAAGGGTCCTTGAAAATGCTGATTTAATTAGAAGAAATGCATTGTTTCCCAGCTCTGGGGCCAGAAGACTAAGGCCAAGGTACAAGCAGGTCATGTTCCCATTTATAGCACAAGAGCTGGATATGTTCAGGGTCTCCCCTGAATTTTCATGGTTCTCTAGGACAGCGTGGTTCTAAGGAACTGCATTGACAATCATCCTACATTTGCTTCTGTTTAAATTTCTGATTTTCATAACAATTTCTCTCTGAACAGATTTGAGGTCTGTCCTAAGTCTGGCTGCATTTATAGAAATCCTGTTTCCAAGAGGCCACATTCTGAAGTCCTGAGAGTTAGGACTTCAACAAACATAACAGAAACCTTGGTCCAATTTCTAAAATGTGTTTATCTTTCCTTATTTTATTGGGATTATTGTTTCTTGTAATACCATTCTTTAATAAACTGGATTTGCCCTCAAATCTTTGCTAGTTTGATATCGGAAAACCTGTGCAGAAACCTGTAAGTGCTGGTTAAAAAATCAGAAAGGAAGTAGAAAAAAATAGAAAGGAAGAAAGCATACAATCTCCAATTGTTGACAATGTGGTTCTATATTCCAAGGCTTGTAAACCCATCCAAACACTTCTGAAGCTGATAGTTTGAAAATGGTTATGGTTATCTTAACCAAAAATGTTAAGTAAGAGAAACAATATTATATAGACCAATGATCAATTTGCTAAAAACAATATCAGGAAAATGTTACATTCTAAAATGTTGTTGTTTGTTTTTGCTCTTTTGAGGTGCCTGCCACCCAACTCCCAAATAAATCACACACTGAGGCCTAAAAAAAAAAATCAGAAAGGAACCTAAAGAAATCTACTGCTAAGAGCAAAAGTCACTAGCTTGAGTGATAAGTGACAACAGGATGGGTTTTCAGGATATATAAATATGTCTTGATTCTAAATGTCATAGTCTCGTCCCCACTGCTATAACTGTATACCAGAGATTACATGATTTATGAAGAACAGAAACTGATTTCTATTGATGTAACCAACCGTCTTATTAAATAAGAAACACAGAAACAATGTAAAAGAGAAAGCTGAGAGGTCAGAGCTCAGAGCTAAAATCTTACCCTTCTGCCTGCGGTGTCCCAGCTTCCTGAAAGAGAGCTACTTCCTGTCTGTACGTCTTTTTTATAGTATTATTGTTCTGCCTTCTCATTGGTTGTAAACCCAAACACGTGACTGCCTCGTCACTGTCTGAATGTACAGCCCCCTAGGTCTTAAAGGCATATGTCTCCAATGCTGGCTGTATCCCTGAACACACAGAGATCTATGGGATTAAAGGCGTGTGCCACCACTGCCACACTCTGTCTATGGCTCTAATAGCTCTGACCCCCGGGCAACTTTATTTATTAACATACAATCAAAATCACATTTCAGTACAATTAGAATACCACCACAGATTTCCATAGAGTTCTAGTGGTGGGAAAGTACACGATCCAGCTGCCAGCAATTTTGTTGTCTAGCAAGGGTTCCTCTTGGCTTCCAAAATAGCACCTTTCTGCTTTGTGCTCCAGTGGGAAGGACATGATTGAAGGGAAGGAAACGTGAATAAGAGCCTAGAAAGACCCCTTTTTAGAAGCCACCAATCACATCCAAGATAGCCCGGGCTTGGTATTTAATTGCTTCCTAAATTATCTCACTTAGTAATATTGTCTTGAAATTTAAGTTTCATCAGAAATTCCAAATAGATTACATACTTCTCTTTTATAATTATTTATTTTTAAAATTTTTATTCATTTGTATGTATGTATGTATGTATGTATGTATGTGTAGGTGGGTGGCTGAGTTCCAGCCACATGGGTGCAGGTGCTGAGGGGGCCAGAAGATACTGTTGGAACTAGAGTTACAGGTGGTTGTGAGCCATTGGATAGAGATACTGGAACCTGAACTCAGGTCCTCTGGAAAAGGAGTGTGTATGCACTCTTAATGGCTGAGTTGTCTCTCTTGTTGAAAAATGTAATTCTAAACCACAGGACCTAAGAAGAAAAATTTAGATGGGGTAATGAGGGTCCGCTGATATTAAAGCAGATGAAACTTGGACCATTGTTCCCATTTTAACAGGAAGAATGAATCCAAAGCCCATAATCTTTGGTGGAATGTAGTTTTTAAATCACATCTCACTTGTCCCCTCATAAAGATCCATTTCCCAGGCATTCACACTAACAAAGCTCTCTGCAATGGCTATATAGTTCAATCATAGTATATATTAATTAACTTAGGATGAGAAATGCAATTATGAGGTGGCCTAGAATACTTGAATTGGTCAATAGATGCATAGACTTCCTGAGGCCCATTTTTTTTTTTAAATGGGACTCACAACAGAAAGCAGATTTACTTATTTCTACCACCACCAACAAAAACCTGTAACCATAGGCAAACCAAGGGTAGATGTCCAGCATCCTGTGCATCTCGTGGTGTTATCTTCCTGGGGACCACAGGTTGTCTGGTCAGTGTATTAGAAGGCAAATGAACGGTATATGCCTGTAACACTCAGTGCTTACTCAAGCGCTTCAAGCCCTGGGATATATCAGTCTGTCTTTACTGACAATGTGCTTGTTCCCACCCTGCCAGATGAAGAATCAGAAACAACACAGATCTATCAGAGCCTCTTCCCCCGCCCCCCTTCCTTTTTCCAGGCTGACTATGCAGTCTCATTATAACCACATTTCCCTCAAATAAATCAGAACATGCATCTAGATCTTGAAATAACTTTATGCATCTCTCTGTACCATTTCTATATTCCACACTTCCAAGTGTTCCCAAGCCTTTTGGTCAAAAAGTCACATGCGGTGTCTCAGTGAAGTACCCCTGTTAAGCAGCTGTAACCATGCACAGAGTTTACCCCTTTATCAGGTAGTGTCACATACCTTACCTCCAAGTCCTAGGAGGGTATCTCCTTGTGGCTTCCATGCTCTAATGACTCTAGATGTTTCAGTTCCTCTGATTCTCTGTCTGGTGTAGCGATTTAAGATGCCCTTGTGCAGGTTCAAAATGATCTGCTTCTCTATTTGACTTTGCTCATCGTCTGGCCAGTCTCAGGCACAGGACTGTGAGGTGCACAAATGCAGAGGCAGTGACAGAACTAGAGCAGACAGTTTTCCAGGCTTTGACTTGATGTCTTTCTGGACGGCAGGATGTGTGTGGCTGCTGGTGGATCCCAGTTTCAATAGCTTCTGCCACCTTCAGCCGGCGCTTCCTAGTAATGACCTGTGCTTTCTTATCCCTGACTCCCTCTTCTCACTGACAAGGGAAGGCTGTCACAGGCCAACTCCTACAGTGTAAACATTTAATAGGTGTAGGATCTTTCTCTCTTTTCTCCCTCCCTTTATTTCTTGTCAGGGGAAAGCGTATCTCTTTATCATGGAGACGAAGTACATTCTTTAAGGGGATGTTTCCAACAAGATTGCTCTGTAGTGGATATTGGCTGTGACCTGTTAGAAAATGAATTGAACCATTCAAACATGTTAGTAGCCTGGTGCTGAAAATTTATTCTCTCATTCTAATGAAAGATGATGGCTTCTTCAATCACAAACTCGGTCTGGTTTTATTTAAATGTTGGAAGTGTCATCGGCAGAGGATCTATTGTGCTGGCTTCTACAAAAAAAAAGACAAGCTAATAGTCACATACTGAGCTCAACTGGGCCTGATGTGGTATGACACACAGGGTAATTTATTCTTACATTAAGTCCAATTAAGGGGACACAATCCCCAAGACAGCAGAGGGTTTAATGGCCTATGCAGAGTTTATATGGATTAGAAAGAGGTCTCTTGGAAGGAAAATTTACTTTGAGATGGTCTATTCCACTGTTTATGCCAGAAAAAAAAAAACAATTTTTCTTGAAAAATTGTTACTGATAAATATCAGAAGTCAGTTCCTAGCCTTGAGTTAATCATACCAACTATAAGGCTGAGTGCTCAGCCATCTCTTACTGTCTCAGAGGCATGAAATGAGAAGAGAGGAGGTGGTCCACAGAAAGCTGGAGAATGTGGGCTGGGGCCACACTAGCTGAGTGGGAATTCTACCTCTGCTAACTTAGCTACATGCCTCTGACCCCACTCCACTGCTTCACCTGGGAAACAGGATGATATTGGATAATGTCTAATATTAGAACTGGTCTAAGAATTAAATATATTAAGATATGAAATGGAATTGTTTCTTGCTAACAGACAAAATAAATATTAAGAATAGATAGTTTTTGTATTGTAATATAGTTTTAATTATTTGTGTATTATTTTATTATCCAGTTTAGACCCAAATTCTGATATAATTGAGGGTGCTGGCTATAATTCACATGTCTATTTCTAATATCATCAAAGTTTCTTGGAATCCAGGTTTTTCTTGACATTAGGTTTTGATTTATTTTAGTGTGAGATGACAGAAAATGGGGCCTCAAGAGTTCAAGAGCTGAACCACAGTTCCATCATTTTACTATCTCAGTAATCAGATAGTTAGCCTTCTTGTGCCTTGCTTTCTTTTCTACAGACTGGAATCACAATACTTATCCATGGCAATTATTTACTGAGCACTTACTAAATGTCATCGATGGCTTTAGCCATATTAGTTACAAGAGTTCATTTAGAGGACTGGAAGACGGCTTAGTAACTGAGATCACTGACGGCTCTGTCAAAGGACCCACATTCAATTCCCAGCACCTAGAAGGCACAACCATCTGTAACTCCAACTCTAGAGGCTCCAACGCCCTCTTTTGGCCTCACAGTCACTACATGCATATGGTGTGCAGATATGCCTGGAGGCAAAATACTCATACAAATAAATGAATAGATTTTTTAAAAGAGTTAATTTAATCTTCACAACTGTTCTGTGAGGTAATCAGCACATTGTCATAGCTCTGGGGCTAATAAATAACAGAACCGGGATAGAAATCTAAGCAGTTCAATTCCAGAGTTCAGAATTTGAAAGCAGCATGGATACGTTCCATCTAAGTTTATTTCATGCTTTCTGTAGCTGGAAGTTTTCCTGTGCTCTGCCTGGTCCTGCAGCCATTCAGTCCTAAACAATCACACCAAGGCTTATATTAATTACAAACTGTTTGGCCTATGGCTCAGGTTTATCATTAACTAGGTCTTACAACTTAATTTAACTCATTTCTATTTATCTATGTATTGCCATGTGCCTTTGCAGCATTAACTGTGTTCCATTACATCTTGCTCCCTGCAGCAGCACTCAGCATCTCTCTGACTGTGCCTTCTCCTTGTCTCTCTGCTTGGATTCTTCACCTACCTCTATTCTTTCTTGCCATGGGCCATACATAGCAGCTTCTTTATTAACCAATGGTAACAACACATATTCACAGCATACAGAAAGACCATCCCACAGCAGTTTTCCAGTAGTGTAGATCTAGCAATGAATAAAGTGTATGGAGAAAATAAATAAACAAATGCTTTCTGCCAATGGGACTCGCTAAGGCGGCATGTGAGTTAGCACACAGCACTACTGTCCATTAGAGACATACTGTGGGCCACAAATATAAACCATATATATAAGCTTTATATTTTCTGGAATCCACATTGTAAAATGTTAAAAGAAATATCTAAAATTCATTTTTGTTTTATTTTTATTTAAAATAAATTGTTATCACTTTAATATGCAGTCCATATGAAAATCATTAATGAGGTAATTTTGTTTATATAATAAATTTCAAAACACAAGTGTACATTTAGCACAGTATAGCTTAATTTACATTTCCTTTTGTGAAAGTATATATGCATATATATGTTTGGGCAGATGCATGCACATGTGTGAGTATGAATCAGAGGTCAATGGACAGTCTGTGGTGTCTTCCTCTAAAACCTTCCCTTTATTGTCTGAGACAGAGCCTCTTGCTGTCCTGGAACTTCACCAAGCAGGCTGGGCCAATTGGCCAACGAACCTCAGTGATCTGCCTATCTCTTCCTCCCACCTCACCCTCCCTGGAATTACAGTGATGCCCAGAGTTTTAGTCTAGTTTCATTTCGGTAGCTCTGGTAAAAAAATTACCCTGACAAAAACAACTCAGGGGGGAAAGGTTTCATTTGGCTTATAATTCCAGGGTGCAGCTCATCTTTTGGGGGAAGTTAAGGCAGGAATTCAAGGAAGCTAGTCATATCCATACTCTAGAGCAGTGTGGCATGAATGCAGGCATGGCCCTGTGCTAGTGCTTATCTCACTTGTTACACTCTCTATATACGGTCCAGGGAACTAAACCCGTGGAAGGGTGTGACCCAAAGAGGGCTACATCATCCCACACCGTTTAGCACAATCAAGATAATCCCTCACAAACGTGTCCATTGGCTAACCTTATCTAGACGGCCCCTCACTGTCACTCTCTTCCCAGGTGATTGTAGATTGTATCAAGTTGACAGTTAAATTAACCATTACATCTGTGCTCTATGGCTTTGACTCAGGTCCTTCTGTTTAACAACTGATTCATCTTTTTCAATCCCTTTATTCCTATTTTAATAGCATCTATGACTTGTAGGTGCAGTGCAGCTCACAGTAGACCTGCAACGAATGTGAGCCCAGACAAAACAGTGTTCATTTAATATGTGAGCCAATAGAATGTCATCTTTGCAGAGAGTATGCATGCAAATCAACCTTGAAAATTGGGTGAGAAGATGCATTTTCATTTAGAGTTGGTAAATTCATTACAGGTGGCTTTGATGTCGATTCAACTGATTATTATAGCTCTCAAAACAGTTAAAACAGAATGAAATTAGCTATCCCAAATTTTCCATCCCTTATCCTCAACAACTTTAGAAACAGTAGGTGTGTGTTATAGGCTCATACCAAGAATGAGTATCTGTCAGTTCATAAATGGTACTTTCTAGAAGATTTTTCTTCCCAATTCTAAAGCACATTCAGGATCTAGAAGGACTCTGAAATTTCCATTGCTGAAGGACCTGGCAACACTCAAGTCACAAAACATTTCAATTCTAACAATAAGCTTTAAATAATTGCTACACACATTTACAGGTACCTCTCTATGGGTAGCTGAGAAGCATTCATTATAAGCTGCAAAAATTTTTAAAGGTCCTTACTCATCTTGTTTAAAAAAAAATGTGTCCTTCACTGCATACAACCAATGTATTTCGCATTATAAATTTAGCAATACTTACCATGGAAATATTAGTTTTTTGCTATAAAATTTAATTAAATTTCAAAGACATTCAAAGACTTATTCTCTAATTTGAAAATGATCATTGCAGGATTTCCTGTTTTAACCCAAGCTTGCCTGCTTAATCAACTTCAGTTTTACAGTACAGCTGCCTTTTTGTGTAACCATCAGAGAATTGAGAATTCAAGTCTGCACTAAGAACGTGAAGCTACTTGGAAATGTCATTGAGGCCTACTGGCAGTTGCCATTTCTCTCACTCACTGTCAGGTTTTCACTCTCCACAGATTATTTATTTATTCATTCACTTGCTTTAAAGAGTGTACTAGACTTTGAGCGAAAACAGAGAAAGCTGGACTTGCAGGTGCATTTGTAAAAATGTTTGGCCTTGAGAATGTTATCAACATGATTATAATGCAAGAGTGTGCTACACCTGCCTGAAGGTATGTCCAAAATGGTGTGGCAGTTCAGAGAACGAAGGAATTCCTAGACAGACTTGGACTGAGGCGAGTTTTCAACAATGTGGAGAATTCCTAAAGGAAAATCTTTAAGGGTCTGGCCATAAAAACAGGTGACCTGCTCAAGGGAGATCACTGTATTCTGTTTTTAAGTTGAAGTCTCAACAAAAAGGGGCCAATAAGAGGGCAAGGCTGAGAGGCAGAACGCAGTGACCCAATACAAGAAAGCTTTGAAAGGAAAGCTGAATTTAATAAACTTTATTCTCTGGAAAAATGGGATTATCTAAAAAAATCCACAGCAGAGAAAATGCTTCTTTTTTTCTATTTTAGAAAGTCTGTCTTTTAAGAATGCTTGCTCTCTCTCAGTGTGTATTTGTATATGTTCATGTGCATATGTGTGTTCACATTTGTGTGTCTGATGTAGGAACATACAGGTGTGGAGGCCAGAGACTAACTTCCAGTGTTTTTCCTCAGAATATCTGAGAAAGGGTCTCACACTGACCTGGAACTTGTCTAAATGGCCAGTGAGCCTCAGAGATGGCCTGTCTACCTCTACAGTGCTGAGATTACAAGTGCCTACCACTGCACTTTGTTAATTCTTGTGGTTCTTATTGTTGTGAAAATGGGTTGTAAGTATTCTGGCAAGGAATTTATTTATTTAGCTACATTCCCTGCCTCTCTTCACCAAAATGGCTTGTATTTGCTCATTGAACAAAAAGATGGCATAATGCTATACTTTTATATGAGTCTATCATGTACTTTGACCATATGTAGCCCTCCTTACCCTCTGGAAGTTTTAACTTGCTAAGCACTTAGGATGCATTAGACGAGAAGTGTACAAGGAACATGAAGACAACTTGCAAGGTAAGAAGGTTCAGAGGCAGTATAGATAGGGTGGCATCCAATAGTCCTTGTGACATTTTGAAATTTGAGTCTCAAGTCCCTCACTGTGAGCAAAGCGAGTGGGCAACATGCATGATGACAGTTTCTAATCTGGAAAGAATGAGATATAGGCTGGCGGCTGAGAATCTGGGTTGAAAGGAAGGTGTTTCTGGACCAACAAAGTCCAGCACACCCCTCGTCATTCTCTATTGTGCTAAATGGAAAGACATGTTCCCGTCAAAGAAGAGTCTAGGAAGATAGATGGAGCATTAGAGGAAGGACACAGAGACTGGTAAAGCTCAGGCTGTCCCCTCCTCAGAAGACCAGACTTCTAACACAGTCCCTCCAGGTCACTGTCAGACAATAGCTATTGGTTGTCTCTCTTCCATTATTCAAGCAGTGAAATCATAGTTACAGTACTTGGTAACAAGTTCAATGGATAAACTGTGTACTTTGAAATGCCCAACCTCATTTTTCTCTTTACAAAAGAAAGTATTCTTTTGTTGTCTAGGCTTTTGTGTGTGTGTGTATATATATATATAAAATTCTCTGTGTTTGTCCAGAGAAGCCCAGTTTACTGCTTTAAATTGCATTCTTTCCACTTTAGAAAATAGGAAGACTAAGCTTTCTACGGTGATGTTATGATTGTCCTATGGTTTCATCTACTGAAATGAAATATTTCCAGTCACTTGGCCTTTACCTTTCCAAATCTGTCTGCTCTTCCAAGCTTTGTATAAGTGCCCTTCATTCAGCCATCAAGCATCCTCTGGTCCTTCTTTTAGATGCCTTAGCAACTCTTCTGCCTTCAATATTGGCAGTATGCAGTGATGGGAAAGTTTCTCTTCTAGATTCTGAAATCTTTGGGAACACAGGTTTTCACTCATAGTGAGAGGTTAATAAATGATTAAAGAATGAATGTGTGTAATAACTTAATTTATTGAGGACATTCTATGTGCCAGGATGTTATTTCTAAGCACTTTGCAATGCTTCCTCATTAATCTCGTGAGTTGAGACTTTGCCTGAGGCAAGGTGAGGGTAACTCCTGCCTACTGATTATGCAAATATAGAAGTGGGGTATGAATCCAGGCCTAAGTCCTTCGCCTGTGAGCTTTACTATTGCGGCTTAGATCTGACAAGCACTTATAGTGCATGTCCCAATTTCCTTTCCAGGTAGAGTGAGAAGGAGGCATGGGCAAAATGAAGCTGGTGATAGTGATTTTGGATTCCGGACATAGGAATTCACATAAGTAAAAACTGGGTTTTTCCAGTTCTCTGGAATAAGGTGGATTTTATTGATATTCATAATAATAATTTTGGGAATAAGTGAGACAGTACAGAGAAAATGCATATAATGAATGAGTGGGAGTGTGTGTGTTTAATTCATATCCCCTTTAAGATGGATATCTTGGCTTCTGTGCTTCTGTTTGTGGATACATAATTTTTCCTAAGAACAGTAATTTGCAACTAGTGTAAAGCTATCTGTTAATAACTATGAAAATTTCAAAAATGACACTCAGGTGCATCTGTAGGCATGTGCAGCAGGCAAAAAAGAGAGTATTTTTAAAGGATCTTATGATTTTGAAACCCCAAATCAACCCTTCTCAAGTGTTAAATTGCAATTCTTTCAGGGATAACCATTTGGCACTGGACAGCCACTGGCACATTCTCCCCTGGGGGAGGCCCCTCTCCCATTCCCAGAGTTCAATATGGGTAGCATTATAAAGACTGAAAAGGTTATATTTAAGAACATATATGAATACGTGTAACAACAATTATTTAAAAAGAGGCCAAGAATTTGAAGGAGAGCAGGGAGGGTTGGTTGTATGGGAGGGTTTGGAGGGAGAAAAGGAAAGGGAAAATGTAATTAAATTATAATCTCAAACATAAAAAAGTACTTGTCTATTCTTTCCTTCTCATTCTTCTCCCCTCCTCCTCATGCTCCTCTCTCTTCTTCTCCGCAGCCCCCACCTTCTTACCGTGTGGCATATTGGTCTGGAACTCCCTAATAGTGACCCTTTTGCCTCTGCCTCAGTGCAAAAACAGTCACTCTCCTGTTGTCTTATTATGGAGTGACTGTTGAGCCAATACAGCCATAACTTACTCCTTATAGAGCACACTGTGTGTTTCTTTAACACAATTTAATTCGTCTATGATGTTGTATTTTGTCTATAGTATTTGGGGAGCCCCATTCAGCAAACATGTGCATAGAAAGAAAGAAAAAGAAAGAAATTTAATGAGAGTTTATTTGCTTTAAAAAATATTTTTCTCTGGGTGTTTGAAATTGTCCAGGCAAAGCAATATTTATTACCAAAATAATAGTAAGAAAGAAAAAGGGCTATCTCGACTGCAGGAGCAAAGGGTGGCTGAAAAAGAAACCTGTGTTTTACCTCTACTGTATTCCCGAAAGCACACAGCCCAGGAGAGACAAAGGAGGCTTTCTATTGCAGGGTTTCTGTGTGCAGTGTAGGGTCTACTCCAGAGGGAGCAAGTACTTCACTCACAATCCCCACTGTCTTTTTAAAAGGATGGCCACTGTTGCCTCAAGCTGGCAAGGTTTTTACATACTATAGTAATGACTTGAGATTCTGGATTTATCTACAGGTGTGGATTCATATTTATCTAACTTTTCTTCATCTCTCCTAAATCATGGACATGGGAGCAATTTTTAACACCATTTGTAGGTCGGCTCCTTGCAGTAAGGGCGTTTTTGAGGTGTGCCTTGAATGTGAATGTATGTGTGTGACAGCTAAACCAAATGGCTTATGAGATATTATTAGTTTCCTTACACCAAATCTGCTAGGCTCTGACATTTTGAAATTTTACAATATAAAGTAAAAACTTTCAAAACATTAATTGAAGCTCAATGGGAAGTGATGTCGTATATAAGCCTGGCTTACTGCTTTGCATTGTGCTCTTAATAAATCTCACTGTGTTAAAATGATGACTCTTGTATTTTGCCTGCATTAAAATCATTTAGAAAGTAATTGGTTTAGCTTATTATGAAACTGCCTGATAATATTTCTTTTCCTTTTCAAGCAAAGAATAAGGTACCATTAAATTACTGTTGCATGGGGAACTCATGTATTACCAGTGTTAGTGAGCACAGAATCTGAAATGGACTTGAGAAAAAGAAATACACTTCATACAGGAGCCTTGCCATTGGCTTCACAGTATTGCTTAGCTCATTCAAATATCTTGCTGTTAGATGGGCTGCAATTACATGAAAGCCCATTCTATTTCTTTTTATGGTACTGAATTTACTAATTGAAAAATAAAATTATATAAAGCATTGGAGCTTCTATTTGGGAAAAACCAACTGACTTGACTTGAAATATTAAATACTAAAGTATTAAAGGGAGACATGTTATTATCCTGAACATTTAAAAAGTAAGGCTTATCCGACTTTAGGTTTTGTTCTTGAACTTGAAGTTTAATGAAGGGAATAATTAGATTTTCATAATTTAAATGTAACTTAATAATGGCATAATTAAGATAACAGGAAAACTATTTTAAGAACTAAAGGAATCCCATAAATTATATGTAGGAATATACTACATTCACAAATACGTTGACATAAATATGTGTATGTGTGCATGTATGCGATTTGTGCATTTTCAATTGGGGATTTTAATAAATTGAAATAAATATTATTTCTCCAAATTCAGAATGGTTTTAATTTATTAGATTTAACAAGAATATTAGTAGCTCATTTTTTCCCCTTCCAGGCTTGCTCCTGGTCACCTGCCAAGCCACTTCCTGGTTTCCCCGTGGTGGTTTTTGTTTTTGTTTTTGTTTCTGTTTTCTCTCCATTCTTTCTTTTTTTAAAAAAAATTATTTATTAAATTTAATTTTACATATCAGCCACAGATTCCCTTGTTCTCCCCCCACCCCCCCCCCCCCCCCCCCCGCCTTCCCCTCATCCCACCCCCCATTCCTATCTCCCCCAGGGCAAAGACTCCCCTGAAACATAGGCTAGGGAGGTGTTTCATTTAGGAAAATGTTGTCACACAAGCATGAAGGACTGAGTTCCGGGCCCATATCTATGTAAAAGCCAAACACTGTAATCCAGTAAAGGGTTGGCAGACACAAATGGATCCTTGGGACCAACTGACTAGCTAACTACACTACCCAACCTACTCTAGGTTCAGTGAAGGACCCTGTCTCAAAAAATAAGGTGAATATTGAAGGAAGGATATGTCAGGTTAATTCCTGTACACATTCATGCGCATGCACACACATACACACCCCATTTAAAAATAAAACTTGAAAATCAACTGAAAAATAAGAAACTAGAAAACAGATATTAGTAAAAAAAAAAAAAAAAAAAAAAAAAGGATTTACTCAGAGATTGTTCAAACCAAGGAAAGACTTGATTTCTCTTGGCTTTTCCCATCACAGTCTTGTAAAAGATTAAACAAAACCCAATAAATATGCATATGTAAATTGATTTGAGCTAAGCAAATGAGGCAAGGTCCTCTGGCTGGCAGCTGGCATTGGGTTTTCTCCAAGCCAGCATGGGACTCACGGGGAAATTTCTGTTTCACAACCTGAAAACTGAAAGGTGGTGCACAGTGTCTCTCTCTCAGCATCTTCTCTCCAGCGGGGACTTCTGCTCCCTGGGAAAGGGAGTGATTCCCAAAGTCACCACCCAGAAACCTAGTGTTTCTTGGGCATCTAGCTTAAGGTTGGAGCCTTTTTTTTAAACTTTTGTTTTTAATACACTTTAAGTTAAAATAATATGACATCACATCACTTTCGCCCTTCCCTTTCCTCCTTCCAGCCCTTCCATGTCCCCCAATTCTCAAGCTGATAACCTCTGTTTCTGTTATTGTTACACACACACACACACAAATATATATGTGTATATATATACACATATATACACACAAAATAAATACATATATGTGTGTATGTATATATGTGTGTCTACATGCACAAATATAGAAATACAACCTGCTGACTCCATTTTTTGTTGTTTGTGTGTTTATGGCTTCAGGGATGACCACTGTGTATTGGATAACCAATAAGGGGAATTCATCTCTGAAAGAGGCTAATCCTCCCTCTACCAGCACTCATTAGTTTACCATAGTTCTTGTGGGACCATGAGAAACTTCCCTCCATCATGTTAGCATGTCCATTGATCTTGGCATTGCTTCAGTGTTGTTTATGAAACCACTCCTTGGAGAAACTGTGTCACAGTGTTTGTTCCGACTCCTAGATGTTTCTGTCCCCTCTTCTGTTCCCTGAGCCATAGATGTCATGGTTTTGATATGTACATATCCATTGGGGCTGTGCTCCCAACCATCCATTGATTTCTACATTGTGACCATTTGTGATTCTCAGCTCTCTAATTGGAAGTCAGACCCACTCAATAGGAGGGAAATCATGCCTGATACTAGAAACTTAGCCAGCTTCCCATTGCTAGTGATGTCATAGACCTTAGAATGGAATCTGCTACCTCCACTTTTTTAGATCAGCATAACTCCCTACTACATTCTAAATCTTATTCTTATACCCACAGATAAGTGTAGCTATCGTCTGTCACCAAAGAAGATCTCTTTACAGCAAATGGAGACAAGCTCAGGGTCTTTTTATCACTTCACGCAGCTTGAGGTTGAGGATCAAGAGCCTTTTGAATGGCTGTGGAGTCAGCTAAGTACATAGTGTATAACAGATAACAAGGACTAAGATGAAGAAAATCAGAGGAAGGAAAAGCACGGCCAGTGGCCCTGAGCAGTGGGGTTTCCGGCTGCCAGAAGATGTGCTGGGATGGGATGATCCTGGGTACTTAAAGGCCAGCTGCTCTGTAGCACTGCTGTTCATAAATTTAAGCCCTTTACGAAGCTGAAAATGATTGAGAAGCCAAGGGGACAGAAATCTCTTACTTTTCTCTTTATTTTTTTTTTTTATTTTTATTTTTATTTATTTATTTATTTTTTTTGGTTTTTCGAGACAGGGTTTCTCTGTGTAGCTTTGCGCCTTTCCTGGAACTCACTTGGTAGCCCAGGCTGGCCTCGAACTCACAGAGATCCGCCTGCCTCTGCCTCCCGTGTGCTGGGATTAAAGGCGTGCGCCACCACCACCCGGCATACTTTTCTCTTTATTTTACACCAGCTATCTTGCAACCTAGACAAATGAATGTTTACTTTCTGAGAGCACAGGAAAGACTTCTCTCTAAATAACTACCCAAATAGACTCTGATAACAACTTTACATATGATTTCACATCTCATTATCACACTCTGGGTGTATGGATGGTTGTGCAACACAAGGGTAGGGCTTTATAAAATTAAATGAACTTTAGGACTAAAGAAGTTGAGCATTTCCCTATGTGGAGGTTTCAGAGCAAAAGGATCCATGACAAATGATGCAGTTTGAACCCTCAATCATTTGGGGGAAAGTGTCCAAGAAGGTGAAACATGTCTGCTATATAGTGTAGTCCGTTTTAAAGGAATCAGCCATGGCAGCTGATAAGACAGGAAGGATTATAGGAGCCAAATCAGCTCAAGGCAAAAAGTTCAAGTACCAATTAAGATAGGGCCTAATAGAACTATTTGTCAGCTATTAAGCAATCTGCAGATGTGGAAAGTCTATTTGCTTCAGCAATTTGTGTGTGCCTTTAACCATACTTAAGTATTTTAAATATTTTCAGATTCTAGATGAACTGAAGAGATGAGGGTCGGGAATAAGATTACCATCAGTAAAATGAATAATTACAAGTTGCCAAGGCCTTTGGTCTTTCAATCCCAGAAGTTTGCCTTCTGGTTTAATATTTATTACTTTTACATATGGAAATAATGTTGGGGTGTGAGACAGTGAGGTGACTCAGTGAGGGCACTTGCTACCAAGCTTAACAACATGAGTTCAACCACCAGGATTCACATGGGAGGAGAGAACCAACTCCCAAGTTGTCCTCTGACTTCTTCATGTGTGGCATTGATATACTCTGATGAAACAATCCAAAAATATTTGACTTTGCTATATATTATAACGTGAAGAATATTTAGAAGATGTGACCCTGATGATCTTCATACACACATGCACTACTTATCTATAGCAAAACATTATTTGAATGCTTATTTTGTCTTTTTTTCTCTATATGTATAATCATCTAACCATGAAAAGTATTTTTTAAATGTTAACCTCAATGCTTATGATCTGACTACAGATAAGTGTCTTGGCTTTTAGCCAACCCTTGCTTCTTTAGACACATGATCTTAGTCAAGGCATTGATTTCTTCAGGAATCAGTTTCCTCATTCACAAGATTATTACTTTGGCTAGTTTACCTATAAATAACAAATGAAATAAGGTATGTTAATCTATTTTTGACAAATGTACAAATTAAAACTTAATGAGCTTGGCCTTCATTGTTAGCAAACTCCTGACATAGTTTTTTTATTACTTTATTTTATAATTAATTTAATTTTATGTATCAGCCACGGATTCCCTTGTCCTCCCTCCTCCCACCCCAACCTTCCCTCCCTCCAATCCATACCCCATTCCCACCTTCAAGGCAAGGTCTCCCCTGGGCATTCAGCTCAGCCTGGTAAATTCAGTTGAGGCAGGTCCAGTCCCCTCCTCCCTACACCAAGGCTGAGCAAAATGTCTCAGCATAGGCCCTAGGTTCCAAAAAGCGAGCTCATGCACTAAGGACAGGTCCTGGTCCCACTGCCTGGGGGCCTCCTAAATAGTTCAAGCTAATCAACTGTCTCACTTATCCAGAGGGCCTGATCCAGTTCCATGGGGGCTCCTCAGCTATTGGTTCACGGTTCATGTGTTTCTGCTATTTGGCTATTTGTCCCTGTGCTTTTTCCAATCAAGGTCTCATAGGTTTTTTTTGTTTGTTTGTTTGTTTTTGTTTGTTTGTTTGTTTGTTTTGTAAGTAGAATTTCCTCCTAACAGTGATATATATCTAACCTCATTTCCTTATTTTATGTCATGCTTTTATTGCTAGCTCAAGAACGGAAAATATGAATACTGTTATCTGTCCTTACGACCTTTGACAGGATAGCTTTTGGTCACTTTATGGACAAGTTTTATAAAAACAGAACTCAAAGGAAATAAGAAACAAAGAATTGAAGCTGGGTGGGTGTCCCCCTGATGTCCGTCTTGCTCAATTCCCCCAACCTTGTCACTCCTGAGCAAAATGGCACAAACGGCAGGCGGGGAACACAATCTGGATCTGGAATGCCTGGTTCAAGTCCCAGATCCCTCAATTTCAAGATACATGACATCAAGCAAGTTATCCAGCCCTTGATGTACCTTAGTATCCTCACCAGAAGCACTGAACTTGTGGACAAAATGCTTTGAAGATTCATAGGTCATCACAGGGATTAAATAAACACATATAAAACCATTGGAGTTCTTCCTGGCATATCATTACCAGTGAGTAAATAATTGGGGATGGTTGCTAAAAACTATTAAGTGTTAACACAGAAAATTGTATTAAATAATTTGATGTAATCCTATATAAGTAAAGATAAACAGACCAATGGTTTGGTCTGTCTGAGTCAGATCTACTTCCATTTACAGTTCCAAATCCTAATTCTTTAGAGACCCCAGGCTGACTGGAATGACTGGGGAGTGGGGGCAGCTGTGAAGGTATAGGATGAGGGTCAGGTGTGTGTTACAGCTCTGTAGGTTCACAGACTGCAACAGACACACTCTGTACTTACTATCACATAGTCACTCCACCCTGGGAGCTTTTCCCCAGGCATGTGGGTATGCAGTTCTCGTCTTCTGCCATGGTCCCCAGTCCCACTACCACCCACACCCCTATCCACCCCTGCCCATGTTGCTTTGTGTCCTTCATCTAACATCTCCTTTGCCTTTGCACTTTGGATAATTTCATATACAAAGTGGTTTCGCTTCTATTTTTCTTAGTCCTTCTTTTCTTATCCTCAAGACCACTTTAAAGCCAGGTAGCAGTGGCACTCACCTTTAATCCCAGACACAGGTGGATCTCTGTGAGTTTGAGACCAGCCTGGTCTACAGAGCAAATTCCAAGACAACCATGCCTATTACACAGAGAAACCCTATCTTGAAAAACCCAAATAAACAAATAATCAAAATCTTCAATTATACAAAAAGAAAAATTTGTTACATAAGAGGAACTTTGGTGTCAACTTCCAAGACAGCATCTTAACTATTTATTCAGTTATTTTGCTTTCCTATTTTAAAAACCTATATTATTTTCCCATTACTTCTAGGATCAAACCTTAGTTCCTTCATGTGACATTAAAAATTCTTTATAATCTGTGCCTTAGCTATCTTTATAGTGAGATCTTTGTGATAGCAAAACAAATGGTATGAAAGAGTTAATCTCTCATGATACCATCACATAAAAAGTTAACCTTTTGATGTCGACACTTACCATTTTCTATGTGATATATCATGTAAGTATATCTACATATATTTTATAAATTTAACACCTGTTTTGTACACTTTCTTGTATTCCATTTTAAAAAATGGTCTCTAATATTAGTAACTGTAAACTTTAAAATCATTTATAATGCCTGAGAAAATGTTGCTATAGACCAACAATAATATTTTATTAATATTGTGTGACTGTTGTATTATACACAAGAATGTTATATTTTTATAGCCAAGTAGTTAGGTATCGACTGTCTTTGGTGATGGTATTTATCACATATTTACAAATGTACAGTTAGTGGATCTGTGAATAATTTCAATTATATTTCACTGAAAACTTGAGTGGTGCTATAGGTTATCAAATCATATATATTTCTCTATTTTTGGTGAAGATTGTATCTCCTGAATATCTTTAATGTTGTATAACTCTGTTTTAGAAATAGCACATTGATCAGGTATGCTGGAGCACTGTAGTCCAGTAGCTCAGGAGGCTGAGGCAGAAGGATCCCCTGAGTCCAGGAGTTCTGGGATGTACACAGTGCGTTGTGCCATTTGGGTCTCTGCACTCTGTCAGGCATCCACATGATGAGCTCCCAGGAGAGGTTGCTCAAGGAGAGGTGAACCAGCCCAGGGTGGAAACAGAGCAGGTCAAGACTCCAATGCTGGTCAACAGAATTAGTACATTGGCATATTGGTTAATCAACATTTGTTTTATTTTAAGCCAATGAGAAATGTCTTTCTTATGCATAACAGTTGAGACAGTCAATAGTCACACACTTGGAAGGACAACTCATATTTGGTAAAAACAGAAAGTAAAAAATGAGATTTTGCCAAATTCTTTCTTTGTGACAGTGCCAGAAGCAATTAAGAAACCTTGTGGTGTGTGTGTGTGTGTGTGTGTGTGTGTGTGTGTGTGTGTGTGTGTGTG